CCTGCGGCCTCTCTCCCTCCTCCTCCGTCTCCGTGTCGGCTTGACCAACATCTTTAACCGCGGCGTATCTCTCTCTCTCTCGCTCTCTCTGTGCCGAACCAGTCCCGAGTTCATTTGTGCAACTAGATGAGAATAAAAAAATCCTCCATGAATGGCCTCCCCTCTGCAGGGCAGCCACGATTCAATTGGTCGCTGCTCAGGACCGCGATTCTATTCCGTGGAGAGGGACATGATTCGACTGACTCTGGGCCTCGGACTTAATGACGACCTGGCGTGGTGTGTATGGACATCAGCACTTTGGAGACAAAGGCGGCCTGGCGTGGAGTTGGTATCCCCCCGCCCCCCCCCCTCGTGTGCCGTGTTTGGCCTTCATAAGTGCTCACTTACAAGCACTTTCCCCCCAACTGGTGAAGGCTATGCAGGGGGAGAATCTTGACTTAAAGCTTTCGTGACTGCAGGAATTCATACTCTTTGGGTCTTTCGGTAAAGTCACGTTGGTAGAAAAATCATTTTTAAAATCACGAAGTTTCGATCGCAACACAAGCAATCATTTTCAGGTGAGAATCCTCGTCTGTGTGCGAGTTCAAACGAAAAAGAATACCTGGCAAGTCCAGCCTTAAATCGGTGCTTGCTAAGAGTATGCATCCAAATAAAACACCCGGGATGTATCCTGATGTCATTATTTATCCAAAGCGATGAAGTCTTGAGCCTGGCGAGTGCTTGAATGGAACGGGGTGAGACCACCATGAACACTCAGGTTTCCCACAGGGCTGTGTGGCTACTTTGTTGGTGGCGAGTTTTCACTTCCTCGTCTGGTATGCAGGAGGTCATGGGTTCGATCCCAACCCTAACGCCTGCATATTTGGAGTTTGCATGTCTCTCTCCGTGGTTGCGTGGATGTTTCTCCGGGTTCTCCAGTTTTTCTCTCCACGTTTAGAATCAACATCGCGCATTTGGAGTATCTGTCTACTGGTATATACACTTCCACGCGAAGAGCCACTTGGTTGAGCTATCATTTGTGATAGCCAAGTCCATTCTTGGATATCACAAATTATAGAAAATTTTGCTGTGGATTTCACACCTGATGATGATTGCTTGTGTTGCAGTCGAAACGTCGTGAGAATTTTTATTGTTTAATTTTTATATTATTTTATTATTTCCCTTCTACGTGACTTTACCAAAAGAACCAAGAATATGAATCCCTGCAGTCACGAAAGCTTTAAATCAAATTTTTTTTATAGTTTTAAATAGTTGGACAGCCGTGAGCAGTACTTACATGCCGACATGCATTCATCAACCGGCACAGACACGGGGAGGTGAAGTATGGTCAAAACACCCACGCAATGCGCGCGGAGGGGAGACTCAACACATTCGTCAACAACGCCGCGGCGTGTGGCCTCGGAAGGGAAAGTGTACGCGATAGGCGACGTTTCGGGCAACGGCCCTCCTTCATAGCGCTCAAATAGCGGGGGGAGGCAGACAGAGTGGAAGAACACGAGTTGGCAGATTGAACTCTGGGGGGGGCCTGACGAGTATTCACTTTTCCCGAGATGTTTTCTGACGATCCCGTTTTTAAATCGGCACACGAATACTGCAGTTACCTCACCGTAGCTATTGGCTAACGGGCAAACCAACAATCTGTGTCGGCTACACAGGAGGGGATGGGAGAGGTGGGGGGGGCTATTTGTCTCTGCGTGTTTTCGCCCGGACAAATTCTTGCCTCTCCCTCAGCACGTCTCTATTACTCCGGGCTAGCCGGTTGCTCCCGCTAATTACTTTCCCATAACCCCCTACCTGCCCTCGTCCTGGCGCGAGCGCACCCCCCACCCCACTCTCCACACCCCAGCGCTCACAAGACACCATTGTGTTACGCCCGATCGTCCGCTCCGACCGACGCACAGATGGGGGGGGGGCGGCCGGAGAACCCCAGCGCAGAGGGAGGAGAGAAGAGCGGCACACACGCACCTCCCGCAGGGCCCAGCAAGCCCAGCATACCGACACCCCAAATCCATCCACCTACACCATCCCCCCCCACACACACACCCGATCCCACCCACCCCACCTACCCACATCCAACCACCCCATCCCCCACAGCCACCCACACCATCACCCACAGCCACCCACACCCCACCCCACCCCACCTACCCACACCATCCCATAACCACCCACATGCACCCCCCCATCCCATCCAATCTTCCTCACCACCCCACCCAATTCCAACCACCCTAGTCCCCCCATTTAACCCCATGGCACCCCCATCCAACCCCATACTCCCCCCCCCACCCATTCCAAAACCACTCACCCCATCCCACTCACCCACACATACAATCCCACCCACTAATCCACGCCATCCCTCCCACCCACCATCCCATCCACCCGCCCCACCATGTTAGCCATGGCCAGCTTCATAGCGTAGTGCCCTTCACTGCTGCTGCTGCAACACCAACAACGTGTATTGATGAGAAAATAAGTAACATGTGTTTAAATCCCAGTGCTCCACCTCGTAACATGAGCAGAAATCAAATACCAAATATAATGTGTAAACTGCAAATGGTGGAATACATATCGATATACATATTGGATTGCAGAGATTGGGCAATTGTTGGTGGCAGCTGGCTGCTGCTTCTGCTGCATTCCCACTCATCTGTGATTCCTCCTCGTGCCTCTGAGTCATCCTCTCTCTCTTGCTTGCTCGCTTGCTCTTCGAGAGCGAGCGAGGACTGTGCGGGCATGTGACTGCTTGAAACTCTCAACATTATTATTATTACAATAGCAAAATCGAGTAAACACTTCGTCCTCTTTCATCTGGGTCAGTGGCGTAACGCGGTTGGCATGGGCTCTGCTCCAAGGAATGCATAGAACAGAGGGGTGAACTTGTCCAACATTCCACTGCATCCCCCCCACCCACCATCCCATGGGTCTCGGTGCAGTTGCACCGCCTGCACGCACGATCTGGCGCTTTGTACGAGCCGGCTGATGTGTCCGCGCCGCAAGGTCCAGCGGCAGGTTAAAGGCCAGGTGACCGTCACTAGGAAGTCGTCGATTTCTGATTAATAAAACCGGAGCTCCCCGTGGTCCCCCTCGTTCCCTGTGCACCCCTCCACCGTCCCCATCTTATGCAGTAGTAGTACTATCGGGGGATGGGCGGAGGGGGGGGGGGACGGTGGAGTCGGGGGAGGCTCCAACCGTTTTAACTACCGCCCGTTTCCGCTCGGCTAACCGCACATGCGGTGGGCTCACAGTGGCGGATGTGGCCGGGATGTTGTTTACTGCCCATCCTGCTCTAAAAACGCCGCTCCGCAGATTCAGTTCTCCTGCTTCGCTGCTCGCTTACATCATCACCGTCGCCATCATCGTGATTATTTATATCACGGGGTGGGGGGGAGGTGACGCGGTCCGGCGGTCACGTTCGCCGCTTGTTTGCGTGCAGAAGTTCGCCGTTCGAATCCGAAAGGCCGCCCCGGCGGTTATTGCTGCGGCCGAGTTAAAACCGGGAAACTTCAAACCACGAAGCCGTCTTGCTTCCATGACAACGGACGTCAGAGATCCCGTGACGTTATTCGGAAAAAACGAGCGGGGGCCTTCGTGCGCTTGCATCGCGCGGTCCAAATTCGAAAAGAAAAAAAACAGCCTCTAATTACTCATTGGGATTACACCGCAACAATTGCCGCTTTCCAACTGCCGGTCTATTCCCAGATCGCAGTGCAGCTGCTAAATTAACCTGGGAGCTGCACGGGGACAGCTGCCACCGGGCGCGTGCGCGCCCCTTTCATACGTTCGAGATGAGCCGTGAACGCTCTTCACTCGTCCGAGCCGGGAAGGCCTTTGAAAAGCTGAAGACTTTTTTCCAGGAGTTAGGGGGAGAAGAAACATGGCCACTGTGTGTGTGTGTGGTCCCAAATTGATAATTTTGCGGGTAAAATTTTCAGCATTGGAATGTTTTTGGCCAATACCCGTTAAGTTGTGTTCTTTGTTTAAACCAATGGGAGGAAACCAGTCGAACCCAGAGGAAATCCATGCAGTACAGGGAGAGAGAACACATACAAACTCAACACACACATACAAACTCAACACAGAAACCAGCCCGAGTCGGGAATCAAACCCAGGCCCTCCCAAAAATAGTATTATTGTCATTCTGGGAATATTTTAAAGAGGGGGGGGGGGTGGGGGTTTCAAGGCAAAATGTGTTCTTTTACTTGTTTTGAGGTTTCTGTTTGGACTTGAACTTGGTGTATTTTTAGCTCAGGCGTTTAATAATTTCTAACAAAAAAACATTTCCCTGTCGACAAGATGTTGCCTCTTCGAACGAAGCGAGTTCTAGGAAAAAATAACCAATGCTGTCCATCCATCATCTGTCCGGGTGTCCTCTTTGGCTACTCCATTAATCTGCCTGTCTGTCCATCTGTGTGTCCATCTGTTAATCCGTGTGTCCATCCATTCATTCGTCTCGTCCATCCATTCATCTATCTGTCCATCAATACGCGTGTCTCTCTGTCCCATGTGTCTGTTCATCAGTCCATTCCATCTTATCTGTCCATCCGTCCGGCCGTTTGATTTTTATTTTTTATCCATACGTTCATCAGTCCACTACGTTCACCTATCCATACGTCTATCTGGCAATCTATTCATCTGTCTCCCGGCGCATTAATTTGTCCGTACGTACGTCCATTCCGTTCGTCCGCTCGTCATCATACCAACTCCTGTTAATTTGCCGTCCGTCATTTAGAAGGCTCCTCAATGCCACTTGCCCCCTTCGATCCTCTTAACGATAACAAAATAATATTAAATAATGACAACTCAGCAGGGCCCTTGGAAATTGTTACGGAACTACGCGAGCAGCCGACATCGACACTGCCGCGTCGAGAACGCGCGTGCGTGCGTACGTGTGTGCGTGTGTGTGTACGCACGTGTGTGTGTGTGTACGCGCGTGTGTGTGTGTGTGTACGCGTGTATGTGTGTGTGTGTATGTATGTGTGTGTACGCGCGCGTCAGGGTCTCACCTGCTGCGTGGCCTCCCCACCGCCGAGCATCGGGACGAGCGGCGGCGGCAGCTCTGGACTCAGCAAAGGAGGAGCCTCCAGCAGCGGCTGATCCATCATCATCATGGCCACCATGTACATCCAACGGGGCCGGGGGCTCTCACCACGGGAGGGGGAGGCCCGCGCGCACGCACCACCTGTTGCCAGACGCGCGAGCGCAGAGACAGACGGACGCACGCAACCCGGTTAACAACGCGGATTTGCACGGCGCGTCGGTGTGAAGCGCGTCTCAAGAGTGCCGTCGAGATGCGGCGAGCTACGTTTCCTTCGCCGCAGAGAGGAGGCGTTTGGTCTCCGTGTAGCGACGTAAGTCTCCGAGTATATGGGACTCCGTGCGAGCGTTGTGGGTTCCCCTATCGTTAATTTGTGGTCGCCGTGCAAGTTTATGGGTCTGAGTTCATGCAACAACAGGGTCTTCACCTCAAACCGTGGTACAGAAACAGCGGGAATAATTATTTTATGGAATGGCATCGGTCTCTGTGTGAAAATACATTTGGTTGTTATTGGATAAATGACCCTTATCGCTATACCTTTGGAGAGTAGAACAATAAAATCATACCGCAGCTCGCAGCCCTTCTAATGTGCATTTGTGCAAGGGCCTGGCCTATATCCAAGTCACATGACTGCCACCTGGGCAGAAGAATTTGGCTAGACGGTTTATTGGTGAGCTGAACATAAAAAAAAAATCGATTTAAAATTACAAAATCGATTGCACAGACACAGGTTAGAGAATTATTTATTTGAAGTCTCCCAACTTTATTGAAACACCCCCTCACATTGCCAGAAATCGTACGTGGCATTTTCACGATTCCCAAATCGCCCTCGTCGTCGTCATCCTTGCCGTCGAAGCATTTTGCTCGGCCAGACTTTCGAAAGGCTCTCTCCTTATTTGGAGTGCCCTGCGCTCCGTGCGAAAGATTTTTCCCGGAAATAACAGCACGTTATGTAACCCCCCCCTCGCGCGCGCATTTAATTAAGGGCAGAAACCACCACCCTCCCCCCAACCCGCCCTCCACCCCTCCCCCCATTAATAAGCCAAAGCCCCATCTGTTCGTGCCGGTCCTGCTCAATCACACTCGTCTGCCAGTCGCCAGCGTCAACGTTTTACAACGAGAACTGTCGCAGTCACGGAAAGTCCTCGAAGCGAGAAAATAGTTCTTTGCTTGCGCCGCGTCGATCGGCAGGAAGGTCGCTCACCGCACGGCACCGACTGCGCGACGCTACGGAGATCTGGCCGATTTGAAAGGCCACTTGAGGGTTTGTCGCGCGATATATTCACGACAACAAACACAAAAGGTCTCGCCCCCCCGCCCCCCCCACATATGCCTCAGCAGATGTTTTTGTTGGGGCAAGTGCTGTTAGCGAGTAGCACCTACTACGAAGGCCGGCACGGCACACGGGAGGGTGGGTGGCCAGCACCACGGCCAGGCACCTTCGTCTCCCATCACTGAATGTTAGCCGTGAGCGGGAATCAAACACGGGTCGCCGGTTTTGTAGTGCAGTGCATTAACCGTTGCACCACCGCTCCCCTATGACAACCACCGCCACAACCACCACAACAACGGCCGTCCCCACCGAGTTTCACAACAACAATCACCACCGCATCACTTCAAAGAAACTACCACCACCACAACCACCAAGTTCAAATCCTGATTGGGGGTTGATTCAAACCATAAACATTCTCGGGGTCAATAAAAATGAGTACCCACTTTGCGGGGAAGCCAAGAGTGGGTAATCTATTTGGGTGACTCAGCTCCCCCGTCATCAGAATGTGGAATTTCCACCACTGGCTCAGTGGCTGAAAACAGGAAACGATCGCTGCCCAAATGCTCGTCGACCACAACCGTCCTCCAAGGGCAGGTTCACGTCCCGTTGGCGACGGCGACCTTCGACACGCCGTGACCTTCCATCCGACCCCACCCAGGAGCCTTCGCTTGAAAAACTGGGCCGGGTTGGGCTCTCCGGGCTTCTCGGAACGCGGGCGGGTCGCGGCGACCTCCGAGCCCGAGCCAAGCGGAGAACGCCCCCCCCCCCCCCGCGTGTGCCCCCCCCCCCCCCTTTCTCCCCGTGCGACAGCAGCGTAAGACGCAGGCCGTCTGACGGACGCGAGATAAAGCGCCGCGACATCCCGGGGAAGTACTCCTGGGGGCGCTCGCAAGTGGGACGCGGCGACCTCGGAAGCCGTCAGGGGGAGGCGACGCACCAGAGAGGACGTCCACCCTGGCGTCGAGGGATCGGGGGACGACTTCTTCCGGCGGTGGATCAATCGTGGCCGGTGACGACGATGGACGATGACGATTGACGATGATCTGAAGGGATTGCAGAACGTGGTGGCTCGAACGTTCAGGCGGAAAAAGGCGGACAAGATCGATTGACGAGGTGGCCAACGTGTTTCAGGGATCCCGGCGCTTGAGCTCGCACCGCCGAGCTCCTTGGGAGGACCGAATCTCGAAGCTCGGGGCCGCCTACTTACGAAAAGAATCGGCCCACGACCGAACCATCCGGACGGCGCCCGATGCCGTCGGATCACGAACGGCAAGGCGACTTTACGGGGGTTGTCAAAGTGGCACAGCCGGTGCGGGCAAGGGAGCCCAGTGGCAGTTGGTTATGTGTGACGTCACCACCCCCGGGGTAGCTCTTCGACGCGGTGCGACGGCACGGCCACTGTGGGTCGCGCGACCGCGATGTCATTTGTGGGAGCGGGGGGGGTAGAAACGACCGCCGAGTTGGAGGCAGCGTCGACAAACTCGTAATTAAGACGAGGGCGAAGAAAGCTGAACATTTGGCCACGGAAACAAACGGCTAATCATCACACAGAGACACTCTGTCACGGTTCCAGCTACAGCCTAGGAAGAAGCTGGCCGGGGTGGTGGCTTTAATATTATATTATTATATCAGCGCCAAAAAAATTTCAAACGTGGAATTTCTTTTGGTAGCTGCCTTTTTATTTTGATATATTTATTTTTGAGCCGCGTGTATTTATTTCTTTATTTGGCGTCGGACAAAAAATGGAGCGACTGTGCGGCCGCACGCTGGAAGCGACACAACAGGGCCAAGCATTGATGCGGCCGCATCCACGGCACAGCCAACGCAAACGGCGCTCTGCTGCTGCTGCTGCCCGCACAGCGTCGCGATTCACCCAGTCTCACCACCGCCAATCCACCCTCACACGCACCAAATTGGTGGCAACCCTTTGCCACTGCTGGATGAGGGCCTCCCCCCGCCTGGCCAGGCTGTTACGAGGGCTAATTGGCCGCCTACGGCTACGTAAACTCGCAGCACGGCACTTAGAAAAAGAGGAATGCAAACCGCACGGGGCCCATGTCGCTCGTCGCTTCACCAGACACCGGCCGCGACTCACGGAGTTTCGGAACAGGCCGGAAGGGGGGGGAGAATGCTGGATTGATTTTCGCCCCCCGGGTTTTCCACCCCCCACGCCCCGAGCCGTCGCATCGCTAGGCGGAGGGCTTCGATGCGCCCGGGTGGGGGGAGGGGAGGGGACCTCAGCGCCAACTCCCGCTGACCCTTAGTGGCAGCGCGACCGTTTGACCCCCACCGATATTCGTCAACGTGTACCCGGCAGTCGAAACAACGAGGTCTTAACCCTCTGCGTTAACCCAACCCCTGAGGCTGCAGATTCTCGCAGATTTCAAAGAATTTTTTTTACCTGCTGCTGCTGAGAAAATAAAGAAATAACTCGTGGTGGCGGTGGGGAGAGGGTTCTAATTGGAGCCCGGGCAATAAAAGGGCCGCTCGCACAATTTCACACTTCTTGCGTAAATCCGTTCCTCCAAGGGGGGTAGGGTTGGGGGGGGGCATCCTGCCGGCGCTTTCGAAGAAGCAGCAGCGTCGTCGGCGGCGGCGTCGTAGGCGTTTAAAACTCACGTGATCTGACGAAGGGCCCTTCGCCCGAAACGTCGTGGAGTTTTTTTTCGCTGCTGTGATTGTTTGCGCTTGTGCACACCCAACGCAGACACACACAAGCAGCAGCAGCAGCGAGTAGATTTGTTGAATTCATCGCTCGTGCGACTTCAATAAAATTTTAAACAAACGCCGCCGTCAACCGTCGACGACTTCCAACCCACGTTGGGTCGCGCTCGTCCTGTTCGGTTGTTTTCATCGTCGTCGTCGTCGTCATCGTTGGCAGCCATCATCAACCCACTGCTGGATGAAGGCCTCTCCAAGCCCCTGCCGCCACCACGTCTCACAATCCTGAGATTTGTTATTTCATTTTATATTTGTTTTAATATTTTTTTACACCCCCCCCTCCTTCCCACCACTTCTCCCCCTCAAAATTATTTAACGAAATGTCAAGTGTAGTTTAAGCCGCTGTGGTCACTGTATATCACACTGCATATGTTCTCCGGCTTACAATGCATTTTAAAATCGACTGACATTATGGTCGGCGTGTGTCGGGTGAGCGGTGGCGACCCAAGTTCAATTGCTGCTCATGACCAATAACAATAATAGCCAATACTTAAACTGGTCCTGGACCTCCCCTAGGTCGACTCAGCCTTGAATGAGTATCTGGTGCAGTGTGTAGTCAACATCACCACCGGGGAGGCAAATGCAGCCGGGCGCGGTGCTGGCCACCCACCCCCTCGTGTGCCGTGCCAACCTTCGTAGGTGCTGCCCGCTCACCGCGCTTGCCCCAACAGTCTGCTAAGGCTATACGGGGGATCTTTGTCTTTGTGCCCTTGTGACCTGCGGTGCAGCGAGCGAGTGCGTGAGCGAAGATTGTGTTGTTGTGCTGCAGCAGCGATGGTGGATGAACACGCGATGAGAGGTTTGGGAACGAGATGTCGGGAGGGACCACAGTTGCGGGGACAAGACGACAGGGTTGGCGTGTTTGCCAGACACCGAGTCCTCAACATGGGTGGAGGGGAATCGACGAGCGAAGTTTCCCGGGATCAACAACGCTGGGAACGAAGCAGAGAGCGGCCACTTGTTCAAGGGAGGCCTGGGTCCTGCGCCGTCACCGGTGGCACGCGCGGTGAGCATCACCTCGCCGGGGCTGCGCGCCACCGCGGCCTAACAGAGTGGGCCTTTCCTCACCCGCGGAGGGCTGCGGTTTAAAACGACTGGCCGCTGCAGGCCGCGGAATCGGTTATCTCGACCCACTATCTGCACCCTCCGT